TGTGTGTGTGTGTGTGTGTGTGTGTGTGTGTGTGTGTGTGTGTGTGTGTGTGTTTGTCGATGACATGTTTCGATTACAAAAACAACTATTGAACAACTTTTGGTTTGATTGTCTGACTTATGAAGCTTGAAGCCTCGTGTTGAACTTAATTTACAAATGATTTCAAACAGACAGAAATAATAAATCAYATCACAGTAATATGTATCCCAGCATATGTGCTTGTTTTGCTGGAATTAAAACAGAAACTTGCTCATGATATGATTGCATGACTAAATTAAGGTGGCCACTGGGAAATAAGTTGCTTTATGTGCGCTGTTTTCATTTCACGCCTGATGGGCTCTCACCTTTAACCAGGAGGTGCTTGTCTCTCAGTGCAGTTTCAGGCACAATATTCTAATAAAAAATAATAAAAGCAATTTCGCTTTAATTGGACATTGTTAAAATAATCTATCAATTCTGCTGCAGAAATGTTTCTTTTCTTGTATTTTTTAAATTAAAACAGTCCCCTTTTACCCCCAAGACTGGGGCTGCCTATTTGTACCTGTAACTGCTTATTGTTAATACTAAGCATTAAATCATCACGTCAGTTTACGTCTAATGTTCTTCATCATAATAGGGATTCACATTTGAGCCGTTGGATAATGGCGTCTCGTTGTGAAGAAAGTAACAAGTTATCAAACTATTCTCTTTTTATTTTCATCATTTATATTAGTGGAACTATCTCTCCTGGTGATTCATCTTCCTTCATCGCATTTGTTTTCTGCAATTTTACATTTGAAAAGCTCCGATTTCCATTAGCATTTTTGCAATTATCCAGAAATTCCATTAAAGTTCTTGGCAATGAAATGCCAGAAAAATGATTACCCTATTAAACCTCACAGTTAAAAAAAATAATAAACATATTGTGCATAGTATTGTATGGTAATAACTTTTATTGGCGGGGAGAGAAAAAGAATATTGAATTATTACCTGTGTCTAAGCACTCAAAAATTCCATTTTAGCTATTCATGTCATGAGGCAAACAAGCAGACTGAAGCAGAGCAAATAAAAACTGGCAGCTGCTGGATGAATGGCTGCATGTTTGGGTCATGATAAGGAAGAATTACATTTTTACACACCACTGAAGAGAGGAAAACAAAGCCTAGTGTGGGTTTAAAAGCTCTATAAACTGTTGGAAAACAACCAAGTGCAAAAAATGAAGTATTATTCCCTCTTAATCGTTTAAACCTTTTCCTCGATGAATGATACAAGTGATTTAGACCTCATCAAAATCACTCAGCATGGCCCCAGAGCACAGATAATAAAAAAGCATGATGGTAGTTTGCTGGATTGGTAAGGTACTATTAGCCGTTTGGGGGCCTCTCTGAATGGAGCTATTAAAATATTTTTTGTCATATGCAGAGATTTACATTAATCATAACAAGTGGGGCAATGCATGGTTACCAGAGCAGAACGTCCAAAGTCCCTTTTCTGTATGATTCAAACCAAYAGCTCTGTTATACATTCCCATTTGTTTGTTCCTCCCAAACAGGTCAGACTCAGAGCCAAACTGTCAATCATGTTTGGAGTTGTTGTATTTCAAATCACAGCTCTGAATGCAARTTCAAAGACACAAGACCCTGGTACATCCGACACTCAAAAACTGTCAAGATCCATGGATTTTTTTTTCAACCGTTTGCTTGTTTTTAAATGCATGTATTACTTTTTTTAGTAGTTGTGTTAGCTAGATGGTCAGTACCACAGTCTCATAATCCTGAGGCTGCAGTTTGGAGCCCTGGTTGCATCAGGAAGGGCATCCAGCGTAAAACAACCGCCTAGTGTTTCATGTAAGTTYGCTTGCWGTGGTGACCCCTGTAGAAGGGAGCAGCTGCAAGAAAAAAACAAAAATAAAGCAACAACAGTGTTATAATTTTTGCACCATTTCTGCAAAAGAAATAYTCCACACAAAGAGGAAAKAAAKCAGAAAAGAAAACAATAAAGTTTTATTTTGGTTTTAATCTGTGCAGCACAAAGTTTTGTACACTGCGCACACAAAGCTTGATGCATGTTTCCAGATTCTTGTTTAAAAATATTGCAGTTGCATCCAGTAGACTTGTTTCCTGCTCTTATTCGCTGTTTTTGTTAACACTTTCTAGATTTAAAGTATTTGGGGGCGTGGAATAAGGTGGTTTTACCGATATAATGAAAATCTTCAGCTGCTGAAAGTTAAAGCAGAGTCAATTTACAGACCACACAGGGTCACAAGGCTGACTGTCTGTTCCTGTAGCCTTTTGGCAGCTTGGCTCTTGAGAACACACTCCCACTGGGTGCAAATCAGAAATCCTGAAATCTTACAGCTAATGGCAACAGTCGCTCCATTGTGGCGTTACAAACATCAAAACTAATGTCCACACATACAGAGTGGAGCACAAGAGCTGTCAACACTCCCCAATGACCCTGTGGGTAGAAGTGGACAAAAAGGGAGAGAAATCCTCATGCTGGCTGTTATTTTTTCACCCCTCCAACACTTTTAGAGCACTTTTAGCCTTTATGTTGACATGTTCAGTGCTTTCTGTTGCCATTGCCAAAATGGTGAGTTACCTTATACTGACTGTATAGAGGGGAGGCGTATGGTACAGAGGTTGCTGTATCTGTAAATGTAATAAAATGCACTGAAGATTTTTARAAGTAAACATGGATGTCAGAAGCTATGGAAATCACTTGATGCAGGGCTATTCAACTGGAAGCCCGCAGGCCAAATCCAGCCCGSGGGTGGCTTCCATCCGGCCCACCAATTTTACTGCCAAGCTGTAGCTATACATGATACATTTTTATACCCATGCATTTGTACTAAATGCTAAACTGTGATTTGTAACTGATTAATTTTAAATGTTAAGAAAACACAAAAAATGCCTAGTTTAAAGATATCATTCTAAAATTTAGTGTGGTTGTAGCTCAACACACAATCTGACAAGTTGTGCCACATTTTTAACCTTGTCCCTAGGTGTGAGTGAGAGTGGGAATGATTGACTGTCCTGTTTGTCTCAATAGCCGTGTTTCCGTCCAATTTTAATTTGAAATTTGAGTGAATTTTTTTCAATTTCGCAAAAAGGAAAAAAAAAACAAAGAAATGCGAAACAGATGTGTTTCCATCAAGTGGCTTGAAGCGAATCTACGGAACCCGTGGGGGGTCAGTGGGAGAAAAAAAACAGCCGCTGGAAATCCGTGAGCACGGATTACTAAACTGAGCGAACGGTTTACTAATCTGTGCTCTCAGTTTAGCAATCCGTGCGCACGGATT